TTTTTCCGGTATAAACAAACAAACAAACAAACGATTTCGGGGAGGTCGGATTAACGAGCCAGCGTCTGTCGTAAAAAAATGAAAAAAAAGGGTTAACGACATTTTTATTATTTTTTTCGGAAAGGGGAGGTAAGGGGAGGGGGTGGAGAGAGAGAGAGGGGGGAGGCGAGGAAGAGCAGGTGAAAGAACGAAAAATGAAAAAACCACAATAACATCATTCGCGTACCTGTGAACTCATCCTTAAACTTAAATGTTTTAAGTTTTTTTTTTTTCTTTCTTTCTTTCATTCTACACCCTTTTGCATAAATTTTCAAATCGTTGGTTTTTTTTTTTTTTTTTTTTTTAAATTGTTCGACCGCACTCTCACTTCAGAACGTTACAAACCGCAAAAAAAAATAAATGACGATGATGATGATGATGATTTTTTGCTAGGGTTAAAAAAAAAAGCAGAAGAAATTTTTTTTATTAAAAAAAAAAGTTTCGAACATTTTTCCCTACTTTGTTTTGTTTTTTAATGTCCGAATTCTTCGTAGTTGATTCATCATCATCATCATCATCATCATCATCATCATCATCATCATCATCATCATCATCATCATCATCATCATCATCATCATCATCATCATCATCATCATCATCATCATCATCATCATCATCATCATCATCATCATCATCATCATCATCATCATCATCATCATCATCATCATCATCATCATCATCATCATCATCATCATCATCATCATCATCATCATCATCATCATTATTATTATTATTATTATTATTATTATTATTATTATTATTATTTATTAATTAAAATGAAATTTGTCGTCTGCTAGTTTATGTATATATATATAAACAAACATAAACATCGAAGACGATTTTTTTTATGTATGTGTGTCGTCGTTATTATTATTATTTTTTTTCCCATCCCGAGTCATTCTCATTCATTCATTCATTCATTCATTCATTCATTCATTCATTCATTCAATGTCAATATTAATTTTTTATTCGAAAAGTTTTTAATTAGTTTTTTTTTAAAGAAAAAAAAAAGGCATCGAGAAATTTAATAATAATTATTATTATCATCATCATCATCATCAATTTTTAAACGGGACAAAATCAATAAATTAAATTAATAATAATAATAATGATGATGATGATGATAATAATAAACGAGAATCCTTTCGATTCTCGGTTGTTTTTTTCGAATGAATGAATGAATTTGAAACAACAGGAAAATTCGGAAAATTCATTATTATTATTATTATTATTTATTAACGACTCCGGGGCGACGACGACAGGACCGTAAATAGTTTACGAAAGCTTACGAAACGGATTTGGTGGTGGTGGTGGGGAAGGAGTAAAGG